TAATCAAACCAGAGTTTGCACTTCATCATTTAGAATAATAATTCCACTTGTTTTATAGAGATAGTCATTATTTTGCCCAAGCAATTCAAATCTACTTCTTCTATGTACACTTAAAATTTTACATAAGAATGGCTAACAAGGATTTTATTAAATATCTTTTTAACACTTTGTGTTAATTTTCTTTTTTAGGCTTGGATAATGGATCCAACGTGACCAAGGAGTGACTCATCTTTCTGCCTACTCCATGCCCACACCCATCCAGCTGAATGCGGCTGGGGGAAAATAAATAGACCTTAGGTAGCTCTGAAAGCTGTCCACCAATCAAACTATACTTCCATAGCCTTTTCCTCTCCCACTCCTCTTTCCAGAAACTTCCTACGCTTTTCCCCATTCCTACCCTTGGTCGATGATGTCACCTTCTGTTCCACAGTCTGAAGAAACTGCAGGCTGATCACCTGTGTTCGTCTCCACCCTCTCCGGCCACTGTCAGCAAGGCTGCCTCCCCTGCGACCTGTGCGTCCCCCTCCTCCCACTTGCTCAGGGACAGTGCTCCCAGCATGCCTTTCTCTTGCCCTGAGTAATCAATCTTCCCCACGAATATACAAATGTGCTGCTGTTTCTCCAAGGGCTGAAAAATAAAACCCCCTCTTTATCTTACTTTTCTGCCCCATTTTTCTGCCTTTCTTACAGAAGAAACCCTCCAAGCTGTCAGCGTTTACTTTCTCCATTTCCTGCCTTCCCATTCATTCTCTCTCTCTCTTCTTCTTCTTTTTTTTTTTTTTTTGAGACAGAGTCTCCCTCTGTTGCCCAGGCTGGAGTGCAGTGGCCCGATCTCAACTCACTGCAACCTCCACCTCCGGGTTCAAGCAATTATCCTGCCTCAACTTCCTGAGTAGCTGGGGTTACAGGCATGTACCACCACGCCCGGCTAATTTTTTGTATTTTTAGCAAAAACAGGGTTTCACCATATTGACCAGGCTGGTCTGGAACTCCTGACCTCAAGTGATCCACCTGGCTCAGTCTCCCAAAGTGCTGGGATGAGAAGTGTGCTCCACCATGACCAGCTCCATTCTCTATTGAGCTCCCTCTGATTAGGATTCTGGCCTCTAGAGTTGCACTAAAACAATCCTTAATTTTGGAATTCCTCCTTGGGCATCTTCCTTTTCTATTCAAACTCCCTTAGAAATCTCATGTAATTTTACAGTTTTAAGTAATAACTCTATATTAGAGACTCCCAAATGTTTATTTCCAGACAAGACCTCTCCCCATCAACTCAAGTCCCATACATCTAATACTCTATTTGATGCCATTTGGATGTCTAGTAGGTATGAGAATCTTGATGTCTTCAAATCAGTTTCTGATCTCTCCCCATCCTTACCCATACTTGTTCATCCGTCAGTCTTCCAGTCTCTCTTTATCATTCTTCCTTATGTAGACTTCTTCTCAAGCCCAAGTTCTTGAAGTCATTCTTACCATTTTTTCTCTCCCCACATCACAAATTCATCCATTAAGATATCCTCTTGATTTTGTCTTAAAAAGATATCACATCATTTCTCACTATCTTTACCGTCACCACCCTAATCCAAGGTGCCAGGAACCTTGTCTGGATAATTGCAAAATCATCCTGATTTTTTCCCCCTCCAATACAGCAGCAAGAGTAATTCTGTTGAAAAGGAGGCCAGGGAATGGCTGCTATGGCTTCCTAAAAGGCAGGCTTACTACTGCCCAGGTGTACCGCATGATCTGGTTCCCCAGCCTCTCTGGTGAGCTCTTTTGTGCTTTCTCCTGGGTTTGTTTTGATCCAGCACACGGTCTTTCTCCCCTAGAGTCTGCTGTGTCTTCTCCCTCTGCCCGGAATGGTCTCCCCACCACGCCCCCAGCCATGCATTTCCACATAGCCAATGCTCTTTCATCTGTTTCAAGTTTTCCGTCATCACCTGAGTGATCTCAATTTCCCAACACACTCTCTGCCTACATTTTTGTTATTATTATTATTTTACTTCTAGAGGCAGTTCCTCACTCTGTCGCCCAGGCTGGAGTGCAATGGCGCGATCTCGACTCACTGCAACCTCTGCTTCCCGAGTTCAAGTAATTCTCCTACCTCAGCCTTCTGAGAAGCTAGGATTACAGGTGCCCGCCGCCACTCCTGGCTAATTTTTTGTATTTTCAGTAGAGACGGGGTTTCACCATATTGGCCAGGCTGATCTCAAACTCCTGACCTCAGGTGATCTGCCCACCTTGGCCTCCCAAAGTGCTGGGATTACAGGCATGAGCCACCATGCTCGGCCTCTGCCTATGTTCTTTATTTCAGCTTTCATCCATTTCACTTACCACCACTTAACGTATTAGGTATGTGTTTTCTTCTTAGTTTGTTTCTGGTCTCTGGCTTCACACTAGAGTGGAAGCACCATGAAGGGTGGTGGAGACTTTTCTTTTTACTTCTGCATTTCTGATACAGAGAAAAGTACACAGAACATTTTAGGTGCTCAGCAACACCAACACAAACTAATAAAATCAGATAAATAAAGGAAAATACTGCTGAAATAAAATTCCTCTTACTTAATAATTTTTTCATCTGTATGCATAAACCAGATCTAGGTACAATTTTTCTTTATTGTTCCATCTTTATCAGATTTTTTAAAGAGCTATATTGCCTTTGTCAAATGAATTGGGGAGGCCTTTCATCTTTTTTTTCTAAGGCCTGGAATAATTTAACTTTGAAAAGCTCTCTTTCTTAAAGGTTATATAAAATTCATGTTACATAAACCTCAGCTGGGAACCCATCTGTTCTCAGTGCCTTTTTCAATGGTAGATTTTTAAGTGTCTTTTTCTAAACTCTCTTATGGTAACTGATGTATTTAAGTTTCCCCTTTCTTCTTGGGTGAATTTTGGCAACACATAGTTTGCTGGGAAATCATCCATTTCCTCTAAACTTTCAAATGTCTTGTCAGAAAGTTTCATATATATTTTTATGACTGCTTTAATCACTTCTGTATGTATGGTTCTTCCTTGTTTCTCTCTCATAATTTGGTTTATTTTTGCCTTCTCTCTTTTTCCTTTAAAGAAGTTAATGAGGCATTAATATAATTAAATTAACTTTTATTAGGATGGCCATTATGAACAAATAAGTATAACTGGGATGTTTTGGGTACATACCCGAAAGAAGTGAAAGCAGCGTCTTCAAGGGAAATTTGTACCTGGTGTTGATGGCAGCAATATTCACATTAGCTAAAATGTGGAATGTCTGTCAACCAATGAATGGATAAGGAAAATGCAATCAATATATACAATGGAATATTATTCAGCCTGAAAAAGGAAAGAAATTCTGACACAAGCTACAATATGGATGAGCCTTGAGGAGGTTATGCTGAGTGAAATAAGCATAAAGTATAAGTATAAACACTATATGACTTCACTTACATGAGGTTCCTAGAGTACTCAGATTTATAGAGACAGAAAGAAAAATGGTGTTTCCGAGGGTCTGAGAGTGGAGGGGATGGGGAGTTGTGTGATGAGGTTTAGAGGTTCGATTTTACAAGATGAATCTCTGAGAGAAATGGTGGTGATGGCTTCAGAATAGTGTGAATGTACTTAGCGCTACTTGCAGGCTGATGGTGCACTTGAAAATGGTTAGGATGTTTTATGTCATTTGTACTGTCCACAATAAAATATTGAAAAAAATCATTACTTTGATATAAGAATTATAGTTGAATTTTTAAATTTTTGGTACCTTTTTGTTTTTATTTTAGTTTTTAATATCAATTTACATTTCTTATTCAATTTTTGTTGGAATTTTTTAGATTCTCAGGATGAGGACAAACTCCCTTTGATTTTTTAGTTTTGTTGAAAATAAAGACGATATTTTATGTGACTTTTTCCCCCTCTCGGGGGACTGCTTTCACTTTGTTCTACAGTTTTAGATAGAAAGAGTATTCTTCTTCATTACTAAAAGTTGTAACTTTTCTTTTGATTATATCTTCGAATTGAGTCATTTATTTGGGAATATGCTTCTTAGTTCCCAAGAGATTTTACTTTTCAGTCCCTTTATACTATTATGTCAGTTTATGTTCACAGAATAAGCTCAACAAAATTTTTATCCACACGTAGACACTGCTGCGGGCCCGGCGCCCCACACCCTGACCCCATCTGTATGCTCCCCTAGAGGTCTGAGCAGAGGGGGCCTGAAGAAGCAAGCCACTCCCCCCGTCACACGCCCTGTGAGGGGCACAAGGGAACCTCTTCCGTTTCACTCTCACTACGTAGACACACATACAAGGTAACTACTAAAGATAATACATAGAATAATTCGCTTCACTGTAGTAATCACTTGTTTTCATATATATATATACACACACACATATACACACATATATACATAAATACACATATATACATATATACACATATATACATATATACACATATATATGAGTGTGTGTGTATATATATACGAAAACATTATGTTGTGTACCTTAAATATATACACTGAAAGTACATAGTCTTGGCTGCCGGGGTCTCCAGGGTTGGTGGTATCTAGATTATTGTCCAGCCTATGGAGGGGAGAGTTCATGCCCTTTCTCTGCAAGTCTTTTCACAGAAACTAAAACCTCACCAAATCTCATTCAGGGGCCAGGCCACGTCTGCCATTTGACACAGGAGACGAGCCTGATTGTGTCCCATGGATAAAGCTTTGTGGGTGCTGTTTAAAGCTATGGGTCTCTTTTGTCCTCAGCAGAAACGGTTTTTCATTGTTTTCATATACCTCTAAGATGTTAAAAATACTTGAATATTTACACTAATTTTCAAACTTCTTTATGTTTTATATTAACACTCTCCACAAAAATAACACATGTACATAATATATAAACATTATATATCTTAGATGAAACCATTTAGATAGAACAAAAAATGTGTTCTAGACTAAATTTGTCCTCTGAACAAATTTTCCACCAGCTCTAGTCATTGCTGCATTTGGGATTCTCGTCGTCCAAGGACTGGGTTTTACTACATGAAGATGCTCCTGTTGATATAAACTACTCAATGCAAACGTTTACCTGCGTGTCAGCACGCAGCCTCCCCAACTCGAACAACTCTTCACGGCCACGCGGTTACAACACACACTTTGGCCGAGGACCCACTTATTTTCTGAGATTGTTTCACCATGATCCTGGGGCAGCGAGTTCTCGCGAGGTGAGAGGCGCCCTCTGCGGTACGGGATGCGCAGCGGCTCAGAAGGACTGTGCAGGGGAGCGCTGGGTGATTGATCACAGCCAGTTTTCTTTACCAATGCTGGGAACGCGGGGGTGAGGTGAGTCTGTCCCAGCTTGTACTCTGGTTTCTGAGCTGTAGAATCCAACAGGAAGATCCCTTTCCCACCAGCTAAGCATAGACCTGAGATTTCCCCCTGCTTGACTTCCAGTGGGGACTTTGCTGTGCTGAGCCAGCTGCCTCAGGCTGTGTGGTCCTTGTTATTTATTTATTTATTTGTCATCAGCTTGGTACTTTTCGATGCAATGGTTTTGCTCGTTGTTGAAAACTTAAATGCAAAAACCAAATCCATTTTCCAGTCGTGGGAAATCTTCATCATCCGATGCCATTATTTCTCAAGTGTGCTAGGCAGCTGTGTTCTTGTTAGCTTTTACTTTTCTATGAGCATCATACTTAAACCGCGCACATTTACCTGCCTATGTGTCCATGTTGAATTTGTATATTTTGGATTCCAGGGTGGCAAATGAATCACTTATTCCCAGAAATGAAGCAAGCCTTTTTTTTTTTTTTTTTTTTTTTCTTCTTTTTTTTTGAGACGGAGTCTCTCTCTGCCGCCCAGGCTGGAGTGAGTGGCGCGATCTCGGCTCACTGCAAGCTCCGCCTCCCGGGTTCACGCCGTTCTCCTGCGTCAGCCTCCCGAGTAGCTGGAACTACAGGCGCCGCCACCTCACCCGGCTAGTGTTTTTTTTTTTTTTTTTTTTTTTTTTTTTTTTTTGTATTTTTAGTAGAGACGGGGTTTCACCGTGATAGCCAGGATGGTCTTGATCTCCTGACCTCGTGATCCGCCCGCCTCGGCCTCCCAAAGTGCTGGGATTACAGGCGTGAGGCACCGCGCCCGGCCGAAACAGGCTTTTTGACCTCCCTGTAAGAACAGCATGGCGCACGGGCGTCGCATGTGAAGGCCCCGCATAGCCGCGCTTTGTTGATCTGTTTCTTTTCAGCTTCATCAGGGCTCCGTGAAGTGACAACCACGTCCCTCACATTCTCTCTTGACTGTGTTTTTATTTTCATATGTCCTACTTCTTACCTAGGCCTTCATATCGCAGTCATCTAAACTGAGAACAGATCAAGGCTGTGGCTTACCAAAGGTAAAAACTAACCAGGCAAAGCAAAGAAAGAGAAGCAATTTGAAAATTCAGAGAATTCCGATTGTTACTCCTTCTTCACTTTGCCCACCTTTGCTTTTCTTGATCATTCTTTGGTTTGTGCCTTAATATCTCATGCTTCCCAGTTGCAAGATGTAATTAAACAACATTTTAAAAAAATAGTGTGCCGAGACATTTCCTTTAAAGTGATTAAATCTGAGCAATATTAACAAAATGCTTTAATAGTTATAATTTTATAAATTCACTTTGTCTTAGAAAATCCGTGTGGCTTCCTTCTGGGCAGAGTGTGGCCCCTGGAATAGCAAGAGGAGGACCCATGTTGTGTAATTATGAACAGGGCAGAGCCCCTTCCCTATTTCCTCTGTGAACCGGTCTAAACATATTTTTATAAATATTTTAAAAATATTTTAATAATTTAATTTTTAGTTTTTAGTTTTTTGATACAGGGTCTCACTCTGACCCCCAGGCAGGAGTGCAGTGGTGTGACCTCAGCTCACTGGAACCTCTGCTTCCTGAGTTCAAGAGATTCTCCTGCCTCAGCCTCTTGAGTAGCTGGGACTACAGGCATGAGCCACCACACCTGGCTACTTTTTGTATTTTTAGCAGAGAGAGATGGTTTCACCATGTTGGCCAGGCTGGTTTTGAACCCCTCACCTCAAGTGATCCCTCTGCCTCGGCCTCTCTAAGTGCTGGGATTACATGCACGAGCCCCCATGCCCGGCCAAAAAGGACTGCTGCTGAAAATACAGGATTATAGTTGCCAAACGGTTGAAAGAGGGTTCAATGAACTAAAAATTTAGTCGGAAAGGTGGGAAAACTCAGAGTGCACAGATTTGGGGTCCCTCAGGTCAAGAGCAAGTGGAGCCTGGGCACAGAGGCTCATGCCTGTAATCCCAGCACTTAGGGAGGCTGAGGCAGGTGGATCACGAGGTCAGGAGTTCAAGACCAGCCTGGCCTACATGGTGAAACCCCGTCGCTAGTAAATATAGAAAAATTAGCCGGGTGTGGTGGCGCACACCTGCAGTTCCAGCTACTCAGCTTCTGAGGCAGGAGAATTGCTTGAACTTATGAGGCAGAGATTGCAGTGAGCCGAGATTGCGCCACTGCACTCAGCTTGGGCGACAGAGTGAGACACTGTCTCAAACAAACAAACAAACAAACAAAACCAAAAAGCAAGTGGACGCCCCCTTGAGTGTATCCCCATTTCTTCGTGAGGGCAAGGGGCCCAGGGCGGCCTCCCCCGCGGGGCTAGAGATACATCTGCTGGGCCTTTCCACCCACTCCAGAGAACCTCCTGGCTACCGGGCAGCTTCACTTCCCTCCTTAAAGCCTCCACAGTCCACCCTACTCGTTTTAAAGGCCTTACCATGTGAAGAAAGGTCTTTTGGGTCCCGAAGGAGCACTGCTTTCTTTTTTGTCTGAGAAACATCTGTCATGTGGGAAGCCTCAGGTGGCACCTCAGGCCTGGAAGGAGGCAGCCTCCCCAGTAGCCAGGGGCACAGGACCATTTTAGGAGGATTTCTCTGCAGCAAAAGGGGAATGTAAGGAAGCTTATTTTCGGTTGAAGTTTGATTTGGTTTTACCATCTGAATGTTTTTATTATTTGGAAATGTCATTTAATGGCAGGAGCCTATTTTCTGAATACACTGGTCAGCTCGGACTTCACTCGCTTGCAACTGATTTGCATTTCTATCCTCCTGGACCACAGTCTACAGATGGATTAACCGAGAATAGCCAGTTTGGGATGATTTTAGGGCTTCTTGGGTGCCAGCCCACTGGTGCTAGGACTTTTCCCAAAAAAAGAGATAACAAAGAGGGCTGGATGATATGGTTCTTATCTGAGAAAAAGGATATCCATCTTTAAATGAAATATGGCACAAGACAAGTTCTATGGAGAAACTCAAACGTGGCTTAAAATTATCTGCTGGGAAGACCATGAGCTCATGAGATGACAGGAAGGATTGAGGGTAAAAAATAACTCATTTTTAAAGTCCTTATGTAGGTCATAGCATACTTTGATGTGGGAGGGACAGAAATGAAATAGTGCAGATAAACCTTATGTGAGTTCACCCTTGGCAGGAACAGGATCATGTTCTAACGATGAGAAGCCACGCTATTACCAGCGGGTTGGAAGATGAATAAAGGCACCGTCGAGGCCTCTGATGGACTAAACCTGCATGTTCAGCACCCGAATACAAAGTAAGAAAAAGGAAGCATATTCTACTAAGTTCTTGTATGTTTCCCTTTGTTTTATTTTACATACAATTCTCCTATAAAACATCAGTGTAATTTATTTTTGTGTTAATTTAATAATAACATTTTTAAACCTAATATTTTAATTGCAAAAGACAGATGTAGAAATACTGATAAACATAATAATACTTTTAAAAATCCTATTTGCCATCTTTCCATCCAAAAACATTTACCTTGACCACTTATTAGTACATCTCCCCAGACAACTTTCTATATATTATGCACATACATAAAATGGTAGCAAATCCTTGAATAACAGCTTTTTTATTGTATACCATAAATATATGTATATTGCCTGTGTGATTCTATGTTTGGGCTCTCTATTCTATTCCATTGATCTATTCATTTATTCTTTCACCAATACCACAGTCTTCATTACTGTAGCTTTATAATAAGTCTTGAAGTCAAACAGCAAGTGCTTTTGACTTTGTTCTTCTTCAACACTCTTTTGGCGATGCTGGGTGTTTTATCCTTCCATATAACCTTTAGAATGAATTTGTTGATATCTAAAAATTAACTTGCTGGCATTTTGACTGGGAACATATTGAATCTATAGATCAAGTTGAGAACAGCTGACATCTTAACAACATTGAGTCTTCTTATCCACACATGTGGAATATTTCTCCAATTATTTACATCTTCTTTGATGTCTTTTATCTGAGTTTTCTACTTATAGCTCTTGTACATATTTTCATTAGATTTATACTTAAGTGTCATTTTTGGGTGCTAATATAAGTGATGTTGTGTTTCTAATTTTAAATTTTAATTGTTCATTACTGGTATATGGCAAGCAATTGACTTTTGTATATTTCCTTTGTACCTTACAACCTTGGTACAATCACTGATTCATTTCAGTTTTCTGTAGTTGCTGATTTTTTTTTTTTTTTTTAAACAGGGATAACCATGTCATCTATGAACAAAGAGAGGCTTATTTGTTCCTTTCCAATCTGTATAACTTTTTATTTTTATTTTTTGTTAGTTTTATTAGCTAGAACTTTCATTTTGATGTTAAATAGAAATTTCGAGAGCCTATACCCTTGCCTTGTTTCTGATCCTAGCAGGAAAGCATTCAATTCTTCATTATTTATTAAGAGGAGAGCTGTAGGTTTTAGTAGATGTTCTATGTCAGGTTGAGGAAGTTCTTCTTTACAGCTAGTTTGCTGAGGTGTTTTATCATGAATGGGTATTGGAATTTTTCAAATTCTTTTTCACTTGATTATATGATTTTTCTTCTTTAGACTGTTGAAGTGGTAGATTATGTTAATTGCTTTTTGAATGTTGAGCCAACCTTTCATACCTGAGAAAAATATTATTTGTTTATTTCGCCCTGACAATACGCTGAGAATTTTTCTTTTTCTTTTTTTTTCTTTTTTCTTTTTTTTTTTTTTTTGAGACGGAGTCTTGCTCTGTTGCCCAGGCTGGAGTGCACTGGCCAGATCTCAGCTCACTGCAAGCTCCGCCTCCTGGTTCCAAGCGATTTTAATGCCTTAGCCTCCCGAGCAGCTGGGGCTACAGGCACCTGCCCACCATCGCCGGCTACTTTTTTGTATTTTTAGTAGAGACGGGGTTTCACCGTGTTAGCCAGGATGGTCTCCATCTCCCTGACCTCGTGATGCGCCCGTCTTGGCCTCCCCCAAATGTGCTGGTATTACAGGCTTGAGCACCGCCCCCCCAGCCGAGATTATTTTCAAAATTAGTGACTGACACACGGCAGGAGCAGCAGTGGCTCATGTCTGTCAGTCCCAGCGCTTCTGGGAGGTTGGAAGGTGGGTGGCTCAGGCCCCACAGAGTTCAAGACACCGCATACCCAGCTCCAGCCAGCCTGCGGCAACCATAGCAACGACCTCATCTCCATAAGAAACTAAACAACAAAAAGGCCTGAGGACCACGGGGCTGCATGCGCTGTACAATCGCCCATCCCCACACCAGCACTTTGGGAGCACCCGATCGGAACGCGACTCATGCACGGTCATGAGAATCCGAGATCACCCTGGCCAAACATGGTGAAACCCTGGTCTCCTCACTAAAATCACAAAAATTTAGCTCGGTATCCGATTGGTGCGCCACCCTGTACGCCTTCCAGCTCTCCGGCGAGGCTGAGCACGGAAATCACTTGAACCCGGGAGACCTGAACGGTCACGCAGTGCGAGCTGAGACCCATGCTGGCTGACGCCAACGCTGGGTACCCAGAGTGACGACTCCGCGTCCAAAATACGTAAATAAATACAAATGAAAAGGAATCAAAACAAAAAATCTAGGCGCCCAGCGTGGGCCAGAGGCCCTCCTGGCTTCCTAATTTAATTACTATGGACAAACACAGAGCGCGGATGGGCGTGACGACATCCCTTAAGATTGAGGCTACACATAGTAGATCCGCCATGTTGGGCAGCGACTCCTGGCTGCCAGCCTGCCGACAGCACGCGAAAACCCTGTCCTTTTAAAAACCAAAAAAACAAACAAACAAACAAACAAACAATGATTGACTCTAAACCACAAACCCAAACAGTCCTGGCTCCAATGTGTCAGCTTCTTCTCCTGGGTTTCTGCCACAAGTGAACTGCTACTCTCTCTGAGTATCTACCCCTCTTTCCAGGTTTGGGCGCAGCAGTCCGCGCTGTGACTGCAATTCTCTGATGGATAGAAGCAGAGTTGTTGATTTTCAGTTTGATCAGTTTTTACTTGGTCTGAAGGTGGAAGTGAGATCTTTTAAGGTCTTTACATGTAAGACCATGTTGTTATTTTTCAAAAAATAAATCCAAAATTAATAATTTTTTTTTTTTTTTGAGATGGAGTCTGGCTCTGTTGACCAGGCTGGAGTGCAGCGGTACGATCTCAGCTCACTACAACCTCCACCTACTGAGTTCAAGCAATTCTCCTGCCTCAGTTTCTGGAGTAGCTAAGACTACAGGCACACGCCGGCACGCCCAGCTAATTTTTTGTATTTTAGTAGAGATGCGGTTTCACTGTGTTGCCCAGGCCAGTCTTGAACTCCTGAGCTCAGGCAATCCGCCCACCTCAGCCTCCCAAAGTGCTGGAATCACAGGTGTGAGCCACCACGCCCAGTCAAATATTTTTAAGTATGTCAAATATAAATTATACATAGACTTAATATTCAGTGTAGTAGCATCATTTTTAATTCTATTTGCTGCTAAAGTCAACTGCAATAAAACCGTATAAGCAAAGTCCTTGAGGTTTTTGGCTCACTAAAGTGAAGACTGAAGACCCATATCACTATGTATGACAAAAGACCAAAATAAAACAAAAAGCTTATTAGGTATAATCACCAAGTTTTGTTTTTTTGAGCTTTCCTAGAAAAAATGTCTTTTTTTTGAGGTTTTTGAATAATTGCTGAACAAAGAACTATAAAGGAGTGATGCTTTTTGTTTTGCCTTTTATTTCACTCGTTTCATGAAGTTGAAGAGCTTTAGCCTATGAATAATGAAAATGCACCTGAATTCTTATTATGACATCAATTGTCTCCTACTCTGCTCCTATACAGTGTAGATCAATAATGTGCAAAGAGCTACTTCCTTATCCTATACAATTATAAATTTTAAATTGCTACTGTATAGAAATTCTGTTACATTGTACTCTCAGCATTTGCTAATTTTTTTTCTTTTCTTCAGAGCTTTTCTCCCATGATGGAAAAACTAATTTATTTTACTTAGTTCTTAACACATACACACACACATATATACACACATATATATGTGCATCTGTGTGTATATGTATGTGTCTGTGTGTGTGTCTATATGTGTGTCTGTATGTGTGTATATGTATACTATATATGTGCATATATATATGTGTGTGCATCTATATGCATGTGTATGTCTGTATGTTTTAAGAATTAAATAAGCTAGTTTTTTCCATTGTGTGTGTGTGTGTGTGTGTGTGTGTGTAAAACACATCATTTGATCTAGAAAATTGTTTGGCTAAAATCTTCTATGTGAAATAGTGACTTTCATACTTGCAAGAAACAGTCATACTTTCTGCTACTGCTGTTTGGGGGAGCTTAGGAAAAATGACATATTTATGGGTCAAAGATTTAAAAACGCAGGTCTTCCCAATGTACAGCCTACAGACTTTTCCATTAACAATGAAAGTAAGGACTGCTACCATTTATTAAATTTCTGCCATATGTGGGGACGATACACACATGACATTCTTATTCCCACAACGTTCACCTTGTGGCAGGAATCTATATGCTGCTTAAATAAAGAAGAAAGCATACTGAGAGAAAACTCCCCAAGTCAGTAAATAACAAAGCTGGAACTAAGACCTTGGACTGTTTTGGTTTTTTTAATAAAACGTTTTCAAAGTGGAGGTGAGATTTGCATATCATAAAATTAATCATTGTAAAGTGTACAATTCCGTGCATATAGTATGTCCACAACTTTGTGCAATAACCGCTTTCAATGAAGTTCCAAAACATTTAATTACTCCAAAAGGTAACACATATCCATGAAGCAGTCACTCCCCATTCTCGTCTTCCTTCAACCCCTGGCAACCACAAATCTGCTGTGTATCTGTGTGGATTTACCTGCCATGACATTTCATATAAATAGATTCATACGATCCATGACCTTCATGCCTGACTGACCCTTTTCTGACCAATCACAAATTCCATGTTGTTTCTTTGATAATATTCTGCCCTGGGCATTTTCTTGCTCACAAACTTTAAAAACAAAATGTTGGGCTGGGTGCACGGGCTCACGCCTATAATCCCAGCACTTTAGGAGGCCGAGATGGGCGGATCATTTGAGGTCAGGAGTGCAAGACCAACTGGACAACATGGTGAAACCCCGTCTCTAGTGAAAAATACAAAAATTAGCCAGGCATGGTGGCATGTATCTGTAATCCCAGCTACTCAGGAGGCTGAGGCAGGAGAATCGCTTGAACCCAGGAGGTGGAGGTTGCAGTGAGCCAAGATTGTGCCACTGCACTCC